GAGAACTAATAAAAGACAAATTGGCAACCTTCACTTAGAAGAGTGCATTAATTAGCAGGATCCTAGGATCAGACCCAGTTGTTGTGGCCAGTACAACTAAATCCATGGCAACAGTATCTGACAAAGTGCTTTCTGATACATTATACGAAATCTTAACAAATGTTCATACTGTTTCGACAACGTTGTTTGCACATCTGCAGTCTGAAACCTGCTTATACCTAGCTTGAAGGTACAACATGAATCAAAAGTGGGAAAGAAGAGAGAGGCAATGATGCAGCAGGGCAGTTCTGGCCAGGCTTGTAGGAGAGCTGAGGCTGGCTAAGCTCAGACTTCACTGCTTGTGATTACTGAAGACTGTAACCAATAGGTGATTCCACAAGAGGGATTTGCAAATGAAAACATGTTAAGGAACTATCTTTGCATACTGGCTTGAATGGAAACCATCACCATATCACCTTTACAAAATATGTACATTACAATAGGTAGTTGAAACTAAAATCTCATCTCTTTTTCATGTGGATATATCTATTCAGATTTTCTCAGAAACTAATAGGTGCCAGGCAGGACTGATTCAAATATTTTGGTTCTAGAATGATACTTTCATCAGACCTTCTCTTATGTATTTCTGATGAAATGAAGTATTTCACCAGGACCTCAGTAGCTATGCTGTATCTTACCCATTGGACTGTCAAGAAGTACATTTTTCCTTGCAGTGATTTGAATTTGAGTCAGTTCATCCATGGAGGATGGCTAAAGAGCCCAGAACAGTCTTATCCAAGTATGTTGCTGAACATCCAAGATCACCTGTAAAAGCATCTTACCTGAGTACCAACAGCAATTTACAAGTCAATGCCCAGCTGGTCAGCACACAGGTCTTGCTCACATTCAGCTTCTACTTGGCAGCATCCATTTATCTCAGGCTCTCCTGCAAAAAACACAGAAATGCAGCTAAATCTTGCTGGCACAAGAGGAACCTCCACTTTTATTCTCACTTTGAGTTATGAAGTCTTGCACTAAGTCACCTATGTGTAAATTACACCCTTTTATAATACACCCCAAAACTACTTCAGGCTTAGACATTATAATTTAGGGTTTATATGAGTTCTCCCTTCCTGAAAAAAGGATCACTGCACATCTGTTTTTTCTCAGCTGATGGGAGTGTTAAGTGTTTTTTACAATTCAAGCATGCAACTCTCTGAATGAGTCCCCATAATACTGTATTTATTAAAACAGTCTGAGATCTCGAAAAGACTAGATGAAAAATGGGAGAGATTAAGGAAAATAAAACCTGTTTCCCCATCTCACTCCTCAAAAATAATTTATATCTTGCACATGGAAAAAAAAAAAGCGCATAATTTTTGACCCAAATCTCAGTATTTTGACCACTGGCTTGCAATAAATCAATTTAAAGTATTTTTGATTATAAGCATATGTAAACAGGTTCAGATTAATAAATAAATCTTTGTCTATGACAGACAGTAATAGGAAATGAGTTTGTTTTCACTAAAATTCATTCCTGTAATCCCATTGGTATTCTGCTCAAAGAAAACAAAAATCTGTTCTGAAAAATACAAGTCCTATGTCAACGAACAAATGTGTGGGATGAATAAATCAGAACAGAGACTTCTTAATCCTCAAAGCACTATTCCCGATACCTTCCCCCCTCCCTTTTATCCCTCCGAGGTTAAGTATCAGAAAATGGCTGAAAGTGAGAAAACAGGAAGAAAGAAAATGGTGTGTCAAGGCACTTGATTGGTCAGATTTTGCTGCAGAGTCGAAGTTCCTGACACAGAGAAAGGAAAATTAATAAGATGAAGCGTATAAGCAGCTAAGAGAGAAATAAGAGTCCTGCAGTTTTTACGCTTTTCAGAAGAAATATTTCCTCTAAGCAATTCTCGGGGACTCTTTGTTTCCGAGTTAAAATGAGGGCTGTGTTCAACTCAATCCAACCGCTTCTTAAAGGCACAGGTACTGTTTTTGTAGCAGAGAAAAGGGCATTACTTCCAATAATTCAATGAAACGGGAAGGTCCCTAAATTATATAAAACGACCTGCAGTATTAAAACAGACAAACTAACCAAACCAGCAAACAAAAAACCAAAAAAATAAAACCAACATAAAAACAGAACAACAAAAAAAACCCAAACAAACAAAAAGAAAGGCGAAGTAAAGTCAGAAATTATTTTGGAAATGTAAATTTTTCAGTCACCAACTGTAGATCTATCAAGCAGGAGAGTAAGGGGTTGTGCAACTGAATTTACAGTCGGGGAAAATCTCTTTTCCAGATAGGATCACAAAAATCACTTAATACAACAGATAAGGAAGAGTCTCCATTTAAAAATAATTCTGGACTTGACAAGTTTTTAGTCACAGATACCCCTTGGAAAACACTTCCTCTGTGGTAACTTCAGAAAATCTTTTCGGGAGCCTCAACAGTGATGCAGAAAATTGATCTAAAGTGACATCTCTAATAATTCATACAGGATATTCAGAAACATTAAGGATGCCACGACTGTGTCCTAGAGAAGACACCAGGAAAAAGCACAACTCATAAAACGTGACTCGCAGAAAATACCCTTGCCTTTGCCCTGCCCCAACTCTATGGAAATACATTTATCTCGTAATAAATGTGGGTGCTTGAGAAGGGCTGAAAATGTCCGCGAGACGTCGCTCACGACAGCAATACTCAGACTAGGAGTGATAAAACACTGGAAAAACTACTGACCAAGCGCCCTTCCAGGAAAGGCGGGAAAGGACTTCTTGCAGCTTCCAAAAAAACCCAAGCCCCCAGAGTCCTCCAAAAATAATAATAAAAAAATGTTTGGAAAGGAAAACTAGCTGTAACGTTACCATGAGAACATCAAGTATAGGTAGCACAGCAGAAAGCATTTACAATAAACGTAAATTCTCTAGTCGTGACCGCAGAATTCTGTAAAGGTCCACCCTTTATGAATTCAGGCAGTTTGTACGAAAGCTTTACGGACACGCAGCTGAACGGATAAAAAAAAATACATATTCCAGCTGGGTATCTTCCCCTTCAGAAAAGGAAAGCCAATGATTACAACATTTTCCTTAACAGCCAAAATCTAAGTAATCTGGAAAAACGTGTAGAAAGCAATATCCACCCTGAATGAAGATTTGTCCTAGGACAATCACCTCATCACACTATACCGCTTAATGCTACAGTCATGATTTAACTCCCTTGACACGTAATTAATTTATTCTGTTTAGTACTTACCTGAGGTGTCAGATCTCGCTTACCGTAAAGCCACTCGAAACACAAGCAAACACACTATTTCCTATGCACGACTACGAGTTTACAGCTCTTTTTAGTGGCCATGTGGTGGCTCTTAAAAGAGCCTTTGGGTTTTCGATGGTCTGAAAGATCCGTTTGATGATATTTAAGCGCGCTCTCCGCGGATGCGGCGGGCGAGCTGGATGTCCTTGGGCAT